TTTTTCCGAGGTAAGACTTAATGAACACTCTATCTCCAACGTTAAAACTTCGGACATTAAGATTTGGTCTATGCCCATCTACTATTTTGGTTGGCAACATGGTGTTGAAAATAGTTCGAATACATCTTCCAAATATGGCTTCGACAGGGAGCTTTCCGTCTAGGACAGTTGGGTTCGGAATAGTTCTGTAGACCGTTAAAGATTTTGTGACTACCTGTCTAGTTGTCCCCTCGCCTTCTTTCAGTAATACTCGTTTATAGGTGCCGACAAAACGTTCTGCTTGTCCATTCGAATGGGGATGAGAGGGCGGAGAACGTAGATGTGTTATTCCATTTATGCAACAAAAATACTTGAATGATTCTGCAACGAATTGTGAGCCATTATCAGCCACTAAATTCTCTGGGACTCCAAAACAGTTGAACAAAGTAGATAACCTGCGGATTGTTTCTGAGGCTGTACAATTGGACATACTATATATTTCTGTCTACTTCATAAATGCATCCACAATAATTAGAAACATTTTACTTTGAATTGAACCGGCAAAATCTGCATGAAGTCTCTCCCAGGGTCTTGAAGGTGTGGGCCAATGCTGTTTCAGACCCATCAGGGAAAATGTGAGTGATGACTGCTCCAATACCATAGTTCAAAGCATCTGAAGCAACCACTATTGATAGGGAAGGATCATGATGCGCCAGCAATAGATTGGAAGTTTGGAGTCGCTTGATTTTCTCGAAAGATACTTGACAGTTTGCCGACCAATCCCATTTTGTATTCTTCTCTAGCAGTTGGTTTAATGGAGCACGCAGACGATGGAGATTAGGGAGGAAGGTACCATAATGCCTGACCAATCCCAAGAAAGATCGTAGGGTAGGGATGTCCCTAGGTCTAGGCATAGTTTTCACAGCTTCAATTTTCTTTGGATCTGGTCGTCTTCCATTTTTATATATTATGAAACCGAGATATCGTATCTGCTATACATAAAAGTCACACTTTTCTGTGCTAAGGCGAAAACCATATCAGGCTATGAGTTCTAGGACTTGATCCAGTTTCCTCTGCAAGTTCACCTTATCTACTCCCAGAATTATGATATTGTCTAAATAAGCCGCCGCTCCTGGAATACCTTGTAACATGGTATCGATAATTTGCTGGAAAATAGAGGGTGTCGTCTCCACTCCAAAATGTAGTCGGTTATATCGGAACAGACTCTTGTGTGTGTTAATCGTTAGGAGATCTTTACTTTCATCAGATATATGGATTTGTAAATATGCGTTTGATTAATACAATTTAGCAAAATATCGACCACTGTTCAGTTTGGCGAAGTGATCTTCCGGTAGGGATATAGGATACTGATGAAACTCTAGAGCTTCATTTAGTCCGGTGGAGTAATGTCCACACAAACGAACGCTTCCAGTAGACTTCTTGATCACCACTATTGTTACAGCCCAATCTGAGAAGTTTACAGGTTCAATAACACCCTTTTTGAGGTCGTTCTAATTTATGTTCAACTACAGGAAGACGCCCAACTTCGAGAACAACAGGCAGGATTCCGTAAGGATAGATCGTGTACAGACCAAATCGCAACTCTACGGATCATTGTGGAACAATCAATTAAATAAAATTCACCACTCTACATCAACTTCATGGACTACGAAAAAGCATTTGATACCGTGGACAGAACAACACTATAGAAGCTTCTTCGACACTACGGCGTGTCTCAGAAGATAGTCAATATCATACAGAATTCCTATGATTGATTAAACTGCAAAATCTTGCATGGAGGACAGTTTGACAAACTCGTTCGAAGTAAAGACCGGCGTCTCGCAAGGTTACTTACTCTCACACTTCCTCTTTCTCTTGGTGATCGACTGGATCATGAAGACGTCAACATCTGGGGAGAAGCACGGGATACAGTGGACAGCTAGGATGCAGCTGGACGATCTAGACCTCGTAGATGAACATAGTGGGTCTGATGCAGATGTGAAAGCGCGGATCGGAGAAGCAAGAGCAGCATATCTACAACTGAAGAACATCTGAAACTCAAAACAGTTGTCAACCAACACCAAGGTCAGAATTTTCAATGCAAATGTCGAGACAGTTCTACTATATGGGGCGGAAACCTGAAGAACTACGAAAGCCATCATCCAGAAGATATGAGTGTTTATTAACAATTGTCTACGCAAATACTTCGGATCCATTGGCCAGACACTATTAGCAACAACCTACCGTGGGAGCAAAAAAACAGATTCCAGCAGAGGGAGAAATGAAGAAGAAGCGCTGGAAGTGGGTAGAACACACATTGAGGAAAGTACTCAACTGTGTCACAAGGCAAGCCCCCGCTTGGAATCCTCAAAACCAAAGGAGAAGATGAAGACCAAAGAACACATTACGCCGAGAAATGGAGAGAGACATTAGAAGAATGAACAACAACTGGATGGAATTAGAAAGGAATATTCTGGACAGCGTGGTTGGAGAATGCTAGACGATGGCCTGTGCTCCATTGGGAGTAACAGGATTTAGCAAGTAAGTAAGTGACAGGAAGGGCAGCAAAACGCACAGGTCTCTTAGGTCGAAAAAAGGGAGTAGCTCCAGAGTTTATGTTTAGTAATGTCTTGGCTTTCGTACATTCTCCCAATTCTTCTGTAAACACATGGCGGTGTTTTTGTAGCACGGCATTTCTCTGAACCCACTCTAAAGGGTTATCATTTCTGATTCGGCTGCAGATGTTGTTAATCGATAGGTTGGAAGCAAGCTATGGTAGACCAAACCAGGAAAATAATAACAGTCTATAGAGTCACTGGTTGCTTCTCTGAATCACGTAGATGCAGGTCACCTAACTTGTATTCGCTTGATAACCAACACTAGTGGTCAGGTGGCATCCTACAAAATCATTTACAGTGACAGAAACGGGGTGGTTCATTATCCTCCTCTAGGTCTTGAGTTACAGTATTTCTTCATACACACTTCATCATTGTCTTTTTGAAACGTATTCTCAATGCTGTCTGTTTCATTATCATTGCTGCTACATTACTTCAACTTCTTTGTAATATTTTTTGAAATTTATCTCCTACCAATGTGGTCTGATAAACTGGAACAACGCACACAGATGCGCCAGACCCTACATTGGTTATGACTGACCGAAATATATCAAGCCCATATTTACAATACACGACACAAAATAAGATAAGCAAGCATGAACAAAGTGGTTTGGATGGGCGTTTTATTTGGCGAAATTATCTGATGATTATTATTCGGTGTAGTCTTCGTTGATTCAGAGTAATAAATTACTATAATTTTTTATCAAGGAGATACATTCGTCATGCTATTTTTGGAAATGTTTTTGTGTTTTCCTTGTTTAGTAGCATTTGTACAACGATATTATTATGTATGGATCTCCTATACAATAGAATACTTTTAACTTTTACTATAATGGGAGTTAATATTGTTTCTGTGTTTTACTTAATGGATTATTTCCCATAAATTAAATATGTTTGCAGTTCATAAAAAGAAACTATATACGGCATCGTTTACAGCTTTTGTTGATTTTAGTCTAATCTATTGTTATGGCTTTATGTTGCGATCGATTCAATGGACAGTGACACGTAAACACGTACGGACGGCCTAGAGTCTTGATTGGTCTCGCTTCCCTGTCTAACCCAGCCAGTTGAGTCCAGAACACAAGCCACAGCCTCGGAGATATGAATCATTATATTTCAAACATACTTTGTTTATATACCAATCAAGCATACCACATCGTACCATAAAATAGAAAACAACATTTTGCACAATATCCAACAAATGAACAGATATCGACCAATAGGAAATGTCCATTTAAAGTCCAAGGACACCATTGGACTTAACATCATAATTATTGGTCTATTCCTCCGCATCCACAACATCTATCATTAATGTTTGATTGAAAACAGTGATCCCGTTATTCTAGTAACTTATTATGCATCAGAGGCTTCAGCCCAAACGATGAGGAAGTGCTCATCAATTACCTGACAGAATTTTATGACGTATAAACCTTTCCTTATGGTTTCTAGATCCTCCTATCTTAAGATTCATCACGTAAATTAATAGTATATCACAAAATACCCGATGCTGTATTTGTATTTCTTCAAATATTTATTCTAAGTATTAAACATGAGGGATATTTTGTAGGGTGTGAAATATATATTTAACAAATTTAGTTGCTAAAGGCCTGATTTTAATCGCCATCTCATTTGAAAAAATAGAGTTCTTCAAGTGGTATAAACCATTGGATAATAAATTAATGATCTAAAATTAACGCGCTAACCGTGAAAATTGAGGGTTTTGTGTTCAATTTCTGGTGGGGTCGTGTGAGTATACCTTTAAGAAATGCCAAACTACAACAAAGTCGCTGTTTAGTAGTTCTTGTATATGTGTTTGTCTAACTAGGAAAGCCGTAATGCAAACTACGAACCACTTTACAAACCTCATAAGTAAACTATATTGTTTTGCAAGTTGTTAGTGCAATGTTACAATATTAATTTTTATTGAGAGAGTTAATTATTCAATGTTAATCCCCAGGCTTTTGTTTAAATTAAGTATGACTTATAAAAAAAATTTAATTGCTTTAATTCATAGGATTAAAATAAATAGAAATAAACATTTTCTTGTCAGTTTGATTCCTCTAATGATGCACTTTTTAGTGGTAAACTTCAATTATCATTATATTTGTATTTGTGTGTAAGCATACTCTCATGTAATGGTACATTTCATAAACAATCGATAGAGTAAAAGGCATCATTTAAAGTGCATAAGTATTTATAACAATTATGATGTAATAGACGCGTAATATTGAATAATTTTAAGATAAATATATATACAGTAAAATATTATGAATTCGATTTCACTGTTTCATTATAAAAAGGAAGTCATTAAAATTAAGAGAAATGTATAAAGTAAACATGGAACTAAGTTGTTCGTTTTTCAATATATTCATTATTTTGCTTGTTTCTGTTGATTATACAAAATGTATGTCAAATATAATAAGTGGCAAAATACTTATACCAGTATCATTTGGGGCTTATGCTTCATTGGATTATCCATTCATAGTATTGTGGGGGGAACATATTTATAGACCTTACAAAATACCATTTTATTATGGTAAGTATAACGATAAATATAATTACTACTATTATCCTAATTATAATTCGCAATCGGTGGTACCCATTGAATACAGTTCATCATTATCATCATATGAGAATTATGGAGATAATCATAATAATGAAATATTGGAAAGTGAACGACAGGCGGAAGATTTATATTATTATGACAGAAATACAAATGATAAAACTTCACCTACCAGTCAAAAAGATGATCGAAGTTATAAAAATGACAATTATCAGACATCCTTTTATGATAATATTAAATATACCCAGCCAGATTATAACACAGTTAAGAAAAATAAATCAAATTCTATGTATAGTAAATACAATTACAAGATGCCTGAAGTTACAAATTCACATAACAGGAAACGCTTACACAAAGAATCGACATACAAGTATAAACCTAATGTACATAAACTAAAGAAATTCGGATATAATGATCAATACAAAGTATCAAAGACAGTTTATTCTAATGATAACCTTAGAAAATATCACAACAATAACAGAAAAGTAAGTTATCAATCAAGTAAATCTAATGATCACTATCATTTCGATAATCAGCATCATATCGATAATCATCATTATATCGATGATCACCATCATATCATTGATCAACATCATATCGATAATGAACATCGTATGGATAATCCCCATTATATCGATGATCACCATCATATCATTGATCAACATCATATCGATAATGAACATCGTATGGATAATCCCCATTATATCGATGATCACCATCATATCATTGATCAACATCATATCGATAATGAACATCGTATGGATAATCCCCATTATATGGATGATCACCATCATATCATTGATCAACATCATGTCGATAGTGAACATCATATCGACACTGAACATCATATCGATAATCACTATCATATCGATGATCACATAATTAGGTCTTTAAACAAGAATAACGATAAGTTAGCAACAATGAAATTGAAATATTATAATCAACTTATTGATTATATGAGTAAACCGGATTATGATAATAAAAATTATGATAAATTTAATTATAGAAAATATCAAAATCCTAAACGTGTTTACAAGAAACCAATGATCAATAGTCGAGAAATGTTAAATGATGTTTATGAAAAAAAGAAATTAAAGAATGGCGATAAAAAACGTCGAGAGGAATACAGTGATGGTCGAAATGATAAACCAAAACCTGACAATGAAAAGAATTATATTGATAGAAAAATTAATTATGATGAGGGGATAAATAGAAAAGCCCCAAAAAACAAAATGGGTAAATCAGAAAAGAAGAGAGAAGACAATAAAAAAGAGGTTAATAAAGAAGTAAAACATCCAAGTGAAGATGATGTTAGTGTGATTAAAGTGGTCAATGAATACGCATAAACATAGAGTAATGAATATAATAATAATGTAATGATAATTTAATCCTAAATATAATAATTTAATATAATAATATGGTTGCCTTTTTATAATTCTCTTATGAACTGTTGATCATTCATTCTGAAAATCAAAATGAACTTGAATGAATAAAAGTTGGTAAAATGATTAATCAGGTTTGCAATAAAACTTATTTCTTTTTCTTAAAAAAAAACTTTTGTACAGACTCATTGTACTTAAGGGTTTAATCTACTGATTACGCTCATTTTTAACGCCCGTTCAGTCGAGTTATGCAAGGAGACAGGAGACCAAAACTGCGTAGCAAACTTTATTGCCAATAGCTAAATAGTGGTGCTTGTAGTTCATGCAAATATTTAGGTGATCAAAATGGTATAGAAAAAAAATCTTTCATAAGTGACAATGGTTAAGTGAATAATTTACCAATCATAGCTTGATTATATTTGGATTTTATTTACTGAGGAAAATTTTACGTCATTATGTGGTTTGTACAACTTGATTTTGAATGTAATTCTTACAGGAATTGTAAATAGCTAAGTTTGCAATACTTTTTATCCATAAACTTGGTTTATTGGAAGTTGGATTTCAGAGACGTTTGTGCCAAAATCTAGCTACCCGTTTACTTTTAGAAATTTAGAACTAAATAAATTCAATTCTTGTATAATATATGTTATTACTTCTGCTTTCAAATAGGCGGTTTAAGGCTTCATTATGAAATTATGGTTAGCAATTAGATATAACAGATTTTTCCGAACAATAAATTTTACGGTTCAAGAACGAAAAAAATAATTTTCTCTCAAAAATAAGTCATAATCAAAACAAAATACAAAAGAAACTTATACGAAAATGAACTTTTTTGACTAAACAAACAGTTTTTGAACTAATAGCCTCTCAAATTAGTGATTAGATGCTACAGTGAGCAGGTAACGTCAAGTTAGGAAATACAACTTACCATTCTTACAATGGGTTAATTCAGTGATCTCGAAGAATTAAAGAAATAGAGGTAAATAGGAAAATAGACTTCATAAAATATATAATTGGTATTTTAAAAGGAAATCAGTTCAATTTATCTAAGTCTCAGTATTAATAAACTAGTGGATTGCTCACTACGATATTAGATTTAAGAGTAAGTAATTTGATAGATGTTGATACTATGGCTGGATTACCATAATATTTCTAGGAGGAATTGCTACGTTTCCAGTTACCATTATATTAAATGGGTCATTACTCATAAGGTTATATTGACTTATTTAGCTTTCCAACACTAAAGTTATGTTCCAACTTATTGATATAACTTGTTGCAGGTATCTTCGAACATAATTTCGTATTACATCGCCTTCCTCCTCCTCCTCAAATCATCAAAACTCTTGGACACAATTCGACATAGTCGACAGATTTTAATCGGGACTGAGAAATAGTGTGATTAATTTAGATACTTCACTTTAAAATTGGTGTTTTATTGAGTTAACTCCAAATCTATTATTCTTCAGACATATAGTTTAAAGTTTTTGTAAAAAAATTCGTATAAATTTTAAGTAGTTTAAGAAAAACTACGACTTTGTTTAATTGTGTTCAACGATAGAAAAATTCTCATAATTCACTCAGTTATTATTTCCTCACCGAAAAAAATAAAATAAATTCAAATACGTATATGAATAAATTTACAATGCTAAACTTTAGTAGAAAACAATGTTTTAAGTGTGGTCGTTGTGTGTAATCGACTGAAATCCATGAGCCTGGATTTTATGCCTATTAGAGTACATTAACAATTCATGTTTTAAATTTGAGGGTACCGACGTCCTGCATGGGATTCAAACTCGATTAGTTCGATTTTAAGATAAGAAGCTGGAAAACCATTGGAATCAATGGGGGACTTTACGGCAGTTTTTCCATTTTAACATTTTGACAGAGAGCTCTCTGTCGGGAAAAGACTGATATTAATAAATACGAGCCATTTACTTTCATCTCAGTGCCCCTAATATAACGATATCCCAGCAAGAAAGATTACTGAACTCTATTCCTGGTGTGGTCGCATATTACTGAGGATTCACAAAACACGATAAAAGTTTTGTCCAGAGCTTTCTATGTTCATAGGTGATATCACTTCCTAATAAGAAATATCTTCAAAACTTATCAATTTTGGTGATTCGTTTTAGTCATGAATATTAATCATGGAAATAAAGAGCAAGAATTTAAGTATTTGGCTTAAAAAGATGTTTATGATTAAAATGGGGTTTTGTGGAGATTGTAGTGAATTTAATAATTGAATTCGTTAGTCTATGTAAGCTAGACCACCATTGAAAACCTGGAACCACTGAAGGGTCGTTTCGTCCTAGTACGGGACTCCTTGATGGTGCGCATCCACGATCCTGCATGCGGAACTCGAGCCCAGAACCTTCGGTCTCGTGCGCGAACGCCTAACATCCAGACCACTGAGACGGGATCCAATGGTGTTAATGTCTAACTTCAATCGATCCATGATCTTGTGCAACCATTCATCTACTGTCTGAGGTAGATTCTGTCTCTACCCGGCACGGATTCGACCCATGAATTTAACTATTAAAATCACCACTAATCCCACAAAACCACCATTCCGACCATAATCATCATGTGCTCACTAATGACCGGCTTCAAGACAATTTCCTGGAGTTATATTTATAAGTCAAACAAGTACTATTGGGTATTTCATACAGTGTTTTTCGTATGGGATCGGAACCACTGAATTCACTACCATTAGATCTTTTAACAAACGAGCACATGTGCTATAAATGATTATCCACAGACTACTAACTGTAGAGTTGAAATAAGTAATGGAACCACGGTAGATGATCGAGGTATATCAGTAATATATATGATTACTGAATTCTGCTCTTAGCTTTGTGAGAAAAGGACATCTTAGTTATTGAGTGTTATGACCCGATGAGAATAATGAATGGTAACTTTTGGGATCCATTTATGGACCAATACTGAAGGTATATTTTTATCGTATCATTGTTAAATAAATAAACTACTCATATTCATGTTCCTCTTATTTTGACCTATGAACTATTATTATACGATTTACCATTCTTGAGTTATGTCTGGCCTATCATAACTATCTCCCACATTCACAGCCACTTTTGGTTAAATCTTGTACAAATGTTTGTTCACTATTTTATGGTACGATGTAGTCTGTTTGGTTGGTATATAAACCCAGTATGTTTGAAATAAATGATTCATATCGCAGAGACTGAGATTGGTGTTCGCGAGTTAACGGGTGGGGCTACGAGGAAGCATGACCGATAAGAACTCTGGACTGCTCGTACGGGTCTTATGCGTCATTGGTCCGATTGATAATTCACTGTTCTCTAATTGGCGGTGTCATTACGTTATACATTAATAAGATACGTAGCAAAAGTGATAACATTGAGATTTCCAGCATTCCACTAATGATTATTTGAAAAATTTAGGGGACGATATGTGAATTTTGAGATACCAAGGTTATTCCATTCTTGCTTTCTTAGAATGAACACTACAAAAAATCAAGATCTAACTAATCACTTTATTTCTTACAAACTAGAGCAACTGAAACCGATGTATTGTCATAATGAGATCAGTATAGATCCAGCGAGTGAGTGTAACGAAAAGTAATAATCCGTTACAAATAATTACAGTAATAAATATGTTTCATTTTTAGACGGTCGAAGTTTTACCAAAAAAACAAGAACGTTTTGCAGCAAATCTCAATAGATTTTTCAAAATAATCATTAAGAATTTGATGAATAACCAATTTGAAATAAGAAGAGTTGTGTTGTGACTTTAAACCCAGTTAAATATCGCGTGACTTATTCGCCAATCGGAATAAGACTGTTGCAATTTAGCAGTGTGCCAAACCAACGACGTATCGACCGGTATGAGCAGCCTAGCGTCCTTATTGGTCCTTTTTCTTCCCAACCCTACCGGTTGAGTCCAGAACACCAATACTAGCTTCCACTGTGCAAACCATTTATTTCAAACATACCTGATTTATACAAGCTTAACAAGCCACATCACACCATAAAATAGGAAGTAACGTTCGTACAAGACCAAGCCAAAAAGTGGCTGTGAACGTGGGAGACCATAATCAATAAACTGAGCATAATTTAAGAATAGTAAATCGTATAGTAATAGTCTATAGGCCAAAGTAAAGCTTGTAGTAAGAGGAGTATATATACATATAATCTAGTTACTGAATTGTTATACAATAAGAATATACGTATAATATTTGTCCATAAATAAACCTCAGAAGTGACCTATAATTTAATCTTCACTTGGACATAACACCTCCCCTTTTTTGAAGATTAGAAGTTTAGATCCTGAATAAAAAATAAACGCAGCTTTAAATTCGCTAACATTATCTTCCCTCACGAAATAGTTTTGGATCCTCATATGCCCAAGTTACAAATAATGTGATTTTATCTAAAAACATATTTTTCGCATTTGAATATAGAATCCATTAGAAGTGACTAAATGGTGAGGATGAGCGACATTTAATTTGAGGTCATCAGGGTTTAATTCTTCAGAAATATTTTCCTAAATTCACTAGAATCTCATTAGTGGATAATGGGTCACTAGGAAAATCAACACTTATCAAAACTGCATTAGACTTTTGAAAGTGAATAAAACATCCATGGGGCTCACAGTGATCATACAGAGCTTCGAGTTACTGAAGTTAGATTTAGTTCAGTATTTCATGGGGAATGGTTAAAATTGAAGATTTTTTTTGTTGTAAACTCACATCGATTGAAAAACCACTTCAAAGGTAAGGACTGCAAAGTTCTTTGTTATTTTATAAATCGTCTATGAGGAGAGATCGTTTTCTACTGTTGATGAGTCTCACTCTAAAACAAAACAGCTTTCAGTGACATTTGTTTTTCTATGGCTTTCCACTGGACGTCAGGTATTGATGAAAACTATCTCTTTTAATTACTACCACTATATATCTCACCAATTAATCAACTTAATGAATTATGCAGTCATTTATCCTTTGGTGGTATAGTTATCCTTCTTTTTGTTACTATTAACTTACAATGTTACCGTATTATCGCTTGCACATACAATACAAAGTCACAAACTTTTTCAACAGACACTATATTCTTATTATTGTACGGATCTGATTTTTATTATTAATTATAGGGGGCGCAATTCATGATTTTTAAATGATGCGTGATCACTCTGGGATATCAATAGTGAAGAAATACAAACCCTTACAGTTGATAATAAATATCTGACCTTTAAAAAAAGTTGGCGACTATAATGACTCAGTAGCCTAGTGGCTAACGTTCTGCAGTTTGTAGCAATGGTACAGAGCCAAAGTTTCAGTGAATAGATTAACACAGACGTTATTATATACAACTGGCAAACGCCGAATTAGATGAAACTGGTGTCCTAAATACTATTTAAAACATATTATCGGCTTTTTGTCTCTTAATATATTTTACTTATTTGTTAAACAGATAAGGGTTAGGGTCAGAAGATTAATTTCAAATTGTTAAAAATAGTAGTAACAAATACTGCTTTGTGAATCTAATTTCTATTATGTATGTAATTCTATAGCGGCTAGCAGTAGAATCAAGGACGTGTGATCAATTATGTTTGGGATTTATCAGCTGGATGAAACTCACAAAAGAGATTGGTCAGTTACGGTCCTGAATATCAATAACTGTAAAGTGTAAAACAAACAGTTTGAAATAATCCAAGTAAAAAGCATTTAAATGACAGTCTTAATGCACTCAGTATTACACTTTACATTTTCAATACAAATGTGAACTTTGCAACAATATAAAGCGTTATTTGTAAATTACGCAAAATATTGAATTTTAACGAATGTACTTCATAAGTAGCTTTTATATATAAAGCCTCAAGTATATACAGTGTAAATGCCTTTGTTTAAGTAATCATAGCATTGCTGTTTTTCAGGATTGAAAAATGAATTTATTAGTATTCAGTATACTAATAACTTATATACTGGATAGCGTTTATAGTGCACACAATGGATATACTAATGGAATTGACACAACTACCAGTCATCATGGTGGAGGTGAAAGTCAGGAAAGTTCTGTAGATGTTTATGATAAATATTCCAATGGTAAAATATACAGTAATGAGTACACGAGCGATGATTCCAGCAAGTACACTGACGGTAAAATCTATGATAAATATGGTCATGAAAAGGGAGACGATAAACATGCTTACGGCAAAAACCATGGAAAAAGTTACGATAAATATGCTTATGACAAGTACGGGTATGGTAAATATGGATATGAAAAATATAGTTACGACAAATATAGCTATGGGAAATACGGATATGACAAGTATGGTTATGATAAATATAGTTATGAAAAGGGTTACGACAAGCATGGATATGACAAATATGGAAAGGATAAATATGGTTATGAGAAAGGTTACGACAAATATGTCTCTGATAAATATGGTTATGGGAAAAGCTACGACAAGTATGGCTCTGACAAAAATAGTTACGAGAAGGTTTACGACAAGCATGGCTCTGATAAGTATGGTTATGAGAAGGTTTACGACAAATATGGCTCCGATAAATATGGTTACGAGAAGGTCTACGACAAGTATGGCTCTGACGAAAATAGTTATGAGAAGGGTTACGACAAATATGGCTATGACAAGTATGGCTCTCACAAATATGGTTACGAGGTCTACGACAAGTATGGCTCTGAAAAAAATAATTATGAGAAGGGTTACGACAAATATGGCTATGACAAGTATGGTTACGAGAAGGTTTACGACAAGTATGGCTCCGACAAAAATAGTTATGAGAAGGGTTACGACAAATATGCTTACGAGAAGGTTTACGACAAGCATGGCTCTGATAAGTATGGTTACGAGAAGGGTTACGACAAATATGGCTATGACAAGTATGGCTCTCACAAATATGGTTATGAGAAGGTCTACGACAAATATGGCTCTGAAAAAAATAATTATGAGAAGGGTTACGACAAATATGGCTATGACAAGTATGGTTACGAGAAGGTTTACGACAAGCATGGCTCTGATAAGCATGGTTACGAGAAGGGTTACGACAAATCTGACTATGACAAGTATGGCTCTGACAAATATGGTTATGAGAAGGTCTACGACAAGTATGGCTCTGACAAATACGGTTACGAGAAGGGTTACGACAAATATGGCTATGACAAGTATGGCTCTGACAAATATGGTTATGAGAAGGTCTACGACAAGTATGGCTCTGACAAATACGGTTACGAGAAGGGTTACGACAAGTATGGCTCTGATAAATATGGTTATGAGAAGGTTTACGACAAGTATGGCTCTGACAAATACGGTTACGAGAAGGGTTACGACAAGTATGGCTCTGACAAATATGGTTACGAGAAGTATGGCCATGAGAAACATGGTAACGACAAATACGGTTACGACAAGTACGGGTATGACAAGTATGGTTATGGAAAAGATTATGAGAAATACGGTTACACCAAAGAATATGGTAAGCATTATAAGGATTACTATAAGAAATATGAAAAATACGATTATGGTAATAAATATGAATACAGTGATAGTAAAGATCATGATAAGCATGATCATGATGAACATGACCATCATGACGACCACGACCACGACCATCATCATCATGGGCATGACCACCATCATCATGGACATGATCACAAACATGGCAAAGGATACTAACTACAGTGGATAACTTCTTCCTAAGATATATAAAAGCTAAAATTAATAGTCGCAGTAAAGTGACTTTCTCATTGCTTTTTCAATAGTCAGTTGGTGAATCATATAGACAGTGGAAAAAAGCCACTTCTAGTGTGATATTAAAAAAACTAGTTTTCATTTCCGCTAAAATAATAAAAATTACTAAAATTCCAACGATTGTAGACGTTAATTTTATTTGTTAATCTATATTGTATTAAGCATATGAAGAGAAAAAATTTAACTAATGGATAAAAATTTATAAGATTACAGTGCTGACGGATGACATGTTGATATTACTGTTACACGAGTAGCATCGGAATGGTAATTACGTTTATTATAGAGGGATTATAGATAGATATCATACATGTAGTTTAATTTGGAGAGTTATGCGATCGGCATCTTTTTTATTTAGATTAACTTGTTGAGTGAATCTAAAATGTTTTTAAAATAAAATATATGCGCGTATATGTTTTAAACCAAAAACTTTTTGATAGATTTACGACGTAAATTACGTGTGCTCAGATATTTGAGTATCCAATTATGATACTGAGGTCGGGAACTGATCTAACTTTGACGAATTTTGGGAACCTGGGATGATACTTCACTCTGGTATTAGAACCCTCGCCAATGCCCATCCACGACCCCGCATCTTGGAATTGAACCCTAAACCTTCAGCCTCATAAGCTAAAGCCTAAATCCTAGACATTTCAGCCGGCATTCAACAGTGTCAATATCTAGCTTCAATCAACTCACCGTACTGCACAACTCCTACCTGTTACCTGCAATGGATGGCTGTGAAAATTTTACAAATTTACCATACTATACATTTCTTAGGTAATATATTTGAGAGTTCGAGCCCTAGTAAGGTCGTGAGCGCATACCGTTGGGGAGCTCCACACTAGGATGAAATCGGTTCCTGGTTTTCAACAGTCGTTTAGCTAATATCAGTTTGAGGTGTAAGACTACGGATCGGGATATACATGATTTGACCCAAGATATTACTCAATTGATGGTGTAATTTCCACTCATAATCCTCATACATATAGTTTTACCATAGTACTGCCTTGTCAATTTATTGATATTTTTCAGTGGTAACGAATCTTTGGTATGTGGAAGAAGTTTTTCATCTAGTTAACCTAAAATCATTAGCAGACATCTTTCATAAAACGAATATTATGTGATAGTTATAATTGGTCAGCCTTAATTTCATATATGTTATGTCTAGACTGTTATCACAATATTTTCAAGTAGGCTAACAAGTGGACAAAGCTAGCTGGTTATGAATTGACATGTAGATTTTTGTTGAATACTACTTATGAATAGTTTGACAACCCACAGTTCTCAGATGTTTATAGGATATTTAGTATGTGGTTTGCGGTGCAGAAAGCGTGTCCTGTCCCCTTTTGGATTCGTCAGCTAAATGTACCACCATCCCACTATTAATACTCACACTGAGATCGGAGTCCAGTACCTTTTACTTCTAATGAAAACGGATTATCCAATTATTTAGAAAATATTTTACTGGTAACAATACATCTATTCTAAATAACTTATGACAAAATAGCTGTATCGAGACAATCCATGAATGTTCCGCATGTGGTAGTAAAGACGGATCAAAATTCAGTTATAATTATCAACCATGGGATAACTCAGAGGCTAACTAATAGTAATATGAGGTATTAGTAATGGTTTAGGTTTTTCCGCTGTTAAAGTTCAGTAATTTTGACAAATCCTCAGAAAATCGTCTCGATGAAACGTGTCCTGGATCGGACTCCTGTATACAAACCAAATATACTAAGAAGTTGTGACTAAAGGTCCAGGATGCATACGAAGCAAAGGAGACCGACTAACTGCGGTCCTGAAAAACAACGACAAGAAATTACGAACCCGTATTAAAATACAGACGGTCTATAGTCATAAATGTTATCAAATGATGAACTAACAGGAACTAGGAAGCACTAAACAGAAATCTTATTCCAGTATGGAAGTAGTTAGCTGCTAGTAACCACGACTCCATGTACAGTCGAACTCAGAAGTACCTTATTCTTTGAACTACACCGGGACTCAGTGGTTCATATCTATAACTTCAGTCAACTTAAGATATAGCGAGGTAACCACTCAGTGACTTTGGTAATAGTTGAAACTTGACAAGTTACTTCATAATCTCCTTACGATCGGTTTAGCAGACAAATGACGACGGGCAGAGCTCAATTTCCTTTATTTGGTACTGAGGTCTGTCATGAGGTAGCTTTGGATCAGTTTTACTAAAAAGTTTCCTGACAGCAGCCAATAAAAGTCTCTACAATACAGTGAAATATTACAATTTTATAATTTTTGACGTTTTTTAGGGAGCAAACTTTACGATATTGTAATTTCTGTTTGTTCGAAATATGAGGATCTCTATATTACCTCACCATAATACAATAAATCATCAAATATCGTCGAGGATTTTGAGTTTCTAAAGAAAAGCTTATCACGAAGATGTATTCAAGTCATTCTAGGGGTTCGGAAAGTATTTCCCACTTTGTTTTTGTAAAAAATGACACTAAGGGGATGACATTTTGATGCATGTGTTTAGGTTTATTAGGTAAAATGTTCAGAAGTACAAACTATTTGATTGGATACAAGATCCTCAAGGAATTAATCCTTTCAATAGAGATGAAATAGAAACGAGAAGACATTACCTGGTCTATATCCATCACACATCGATTATAAAGATAAATCCTATTTATAAATACCAGAAAACATTTCATGGATCTTAAAATTGGTATATTAATAGATCACATCGCTATCAGCCACCGATGGAGGGGCTCGATAGAAGACTGTTGCTCATTCTGGAGCACATGCCTAGATTCAGATCATGCTCTAGTGCGAGCGCGTATTTGCTTGCGTCTTACTGGACGTAGGAAAGACGCTGCAAGAAAACCTCTTAGGGGCCTACTTAATGATAGTCAAGCTAAGAGTATATTTCAGGAACAACTAGGAAAACAGTTAGGCAGCCATGTAGGTGATGCCCACCCCGATGCAGCATGGAATGATATCCGAAAAGCTGTGGAAACAGCAGTGATATCTGCTAGTAAGGTAAACCAGAAGGTTAGGGAGCAACACTGGATCTCAGCAGCATCTATCTCACTGATAGATGCTCGGAAACTCATTCCACCTGGCTCTAAACATAATAAAGAGCGGAGTCAGCTTAAGCGCAAGCTGACAAGAAACCTACCCAATGATCGCGAACAGTGGTGGGTAGAGAAAGCAAGAGAGATGGAAAAGGCAGCGGCAATAGGTAATAGCAGACAATTGTTCAGACTCGCTAAGGAAACCGGAATTAGGAACCCGACTGTTAGCGAAATTATCTCAGAGAAAGATGGGCATATTATTCATTCTCAATCCAGGAGATTGGATCGATGGGCAGAACACTTTAGGGATCAGTTCAACTGGCCTTCAGCCACATTTCGGTTTCCCACGATCTCCAGTCAACCTGAATGGCAAGTAAATGTAGGTCCTCCGTCTCTTTATGAAGTTGAAAAAGCTATAGGAAATCTGAAGCGGGGGAGAGCAGCAGGCCCTGACAGGCTCACTCCTGAGATTTTTAAGGATGGTGGTCCAGTATTACCAATGAGATTAACTGAGGTCTTAGGTAGAATTTGGGAACTGGACGTAATCCCATCTGACTGATCTCAATCACTGATTGTGCTAGTCTATAAGAAAGAACAAAGTCTTCTTGTGACAATCACAGAGGAATCAGTTTGACTAATATAGTGTCTAAAATATTAGCTTCAATAATACTTCGACGCCTAATCAAAGCTCGTGAAGAGCAGACTAGAGAAAATCAGGCTGGTTTTCGACCTGGACGTGGTTGTATAGATCAGATATTCACACTACGTCAGGTTCTAGAACACAGACACACATCCAGACGCCCCACAATGGTAGTATTCCTCGACCTTAAAGCAGCATTCGACTCTGTCGATCGTGAGGTTCTATGGCAGTGTTTGTCACTGAAAGGAGTACCTCAGACGTACATTAACCTTATAAAGGCTCTCTACTCGAACACAACTGGTAGAGTGAGAGCTTATGGCGAACTGTCATCAGAATTGATTACCTCAAGTGGTGTTCGTCAGGGCTGTCCACTCTCCCCATTCTTGTTCAACTTTGTCATTGACGTACTTCTAGAGATAACACTTTCCTCATCTAGATTTCCAGGGGTTGAACTTCTACCGGGAGGTTCACTTGTTGACTTAGAATATGCTGATGACATAGTTTTATTTGGTGAAGACGCTGACAAAATGCAGAGTCTTCTGACCACTCTAAGCAACAATGCAGGCATGTTCGGGATGAGATTCTCTCCCTCGAAATGCAAAATGTTGCTTCAGGATTGGGTTACTTCGACATCCGAACTAGTGATAGGGAGTGAAGTAATTGAGCGTGTCGATAGCTTCACTTATCTTGGAAGTCTCATCAGCCCTTGTGGTCTGGTGTGTGACGAAATCTCAGCACGGATACAGAAGGCTCGACTAGCTTTTGCCAACTTGTGTCATTTATGGAGTAGGCGAGATATCCGTCTATCAACCAAAGGACGTGTTTACTGCGCAGCAGTTCGTTCCGTCCTACTTTATGGCAGTGAAACATGGCCGGTAAGAGTAGAGGATATCCGTAGGCTACTAGTATTTGATCATAGGTGTCTTCGAAACATTGCTCGTATATCATGGGACCGTCGAGTAAGTAACACAGTTGTTAGGAAACGGGTACTAGGTAAGGATGGCAAATTAATTGATGAAGTAGTGAAACTTCATCAGTTGAGATGGGTGGGACACGTGTTACGTATGCCCAACGACCGACTGCCTCGACGTGCTATGTTCAGTGGTATAGGAGTAGGTTGGAAGAAAGCTAGGGGCGGCCAAACCAAAACATGTCACAAGTCCATGAAGTCACTGACAAGTGAACTGAGTCATGTTGGTAGGTGTAGACTACCTGGTTGGGGACCGCGAGATGATAGCAACCGATTTTTAGAGACCCTGAATGACATGGCTCAAAATCGTTTGCAATGGTGCAGGTGCATCCACTCTCTGTGTTCTCTCAAATTCTAATCTTCTGAATTCTTCATGTCCCTTTTTTCCTCTTTCCAAATTTATTTCACTGGATTATACTCTTTAAATAACATCTCCAAACCATAATCTTCCCGACTACTGCTTATACTCTTATTACCTCTACCACTATGGGATTTGAATCGACAA